TGTCATCCCTATCACTTACCGTCCTCACCCAAATAGAACGCCCGCAAAAATACTATGAGAAAAATTGGCTCATTGGCTTCTTCAACGGATTACGGATTACTGCTGCTTTTTTAATTCCAATCTACCGTCCTCACCCGAATAGAACGCGCCCGCAAAAAAATTGCTGCTGCTTTTTTAATTCCAATCTACCGTCCTCACCCGAATAGAACGCGCCCGTAAAAAAAAACTACGTTATGCAGAAAAATAGACTCTAAAACTTCCTCACCCGAATAGAACGCGCCCGCAAAAAAAAACTATGTTATGCAGAAAAATAGACTCTACAACTTTTGCCTCAGGGTCGCATCGAAATTCTTTACCAAATTTAAAATAAAAATAAGAAGAAAAAAAACGTACAGTTATAAGGAAGATGATAAAAAACTGAATTCATTTTTTCCTGGTTTTCTTTATTTCTTTTTCTTTTTTTCGCATTTGCGCTCTGATATTCTTGTGACAATATGTAAGGAAGAAGATCAAAAACGAATTTAAGGTTTTTTTGTTTTCCTTGGTTTTTTCGCTTTGGCGCTCTGATATTATGCGACAGTATATATATTTTTGGCCCGGCCGGGCAAGTTACCCCGGGCCACTCTTGAAGCCTAGTTCATAATCAAATTAAAGATTTTGTACATGGGGTCGTCTTCTTTGATCGCGTCCCTCTTGAATAGAACGAATGGTCATTATGACTGTATTTGGCTCACTTTTCAGTGCAGATGCAGCAGATATGACCGTACGTTCTATTCGGGAGAAGAAGGTAGGCATTCCTCGTTCAAGACCGAATTTCCCCCCCCTCCCCGCCCCCGCCTTCCCCCGTTAACGGCGGGAGGATCGATAATTACAATGACAGTTCTTCGGGACATCCGTTAAAATTGGAACGATACGTATATATTTATATTGTCACACTGGTCCCTGCGCAAGATGCGACGCATAAATTTAATCGAGAAATGGTTCAAATCAGAAAAAAAAAGGCAAAAAAATAAATTAAAACAATCGACCTACCCCAGTCAAGATTGATGTACCCTGGGCGAGGTCCCATTACCAGCAAAGAGGATTGGATTAAGCTCTCCTGAATCGGGATGTGTTTTATGCAGAGATGCCCGATTGTCGTGCACCTCGCCGCAAACACGTCCAGATTCGGGTGTTCAATCCAATCCTCCTTGTTACTACCTCGCCCCTTGCAAAGGTTTCCCGGCGCCGAGGTCCCACTACCAAAGGGGATTGGGTTGAACGCCTGAATCTGGACTTGTTTGTAGAAAGGTGCAGAAAATCGAGATTGAACTGCTTTTCTGCATCCCTGCTTAAACCACGTCCAGATTCAGGAGATTAATTCAATCCTCTTTGCTAGTGGGACATCGTCCAGGGCCCTTCGACCGCTGGGCTGGCGATTCGTTGGGTTCATCAGTGGTCGCCGGACGGGATCGGTACGCTGGCCCAAAACGTCTAAGGACATCTCAGAACTGTTATTAGGGCATATATATCGTCAAATAGGACATCTCAGAACTGTTATTAGGGCATAAATATATATATATATTCCCACTACCCGTCTTCCCCCGAACACAACGCATCGTGATAATGAATGTATACAAGGCTATATTTCCGGTCAGGTGCAGCCAAAACGAGGGTGCGTTGTGTTCGGGGGAAGACGGTAGGCCTTCAATCTGGCCGTTGATTTTGCGATTTTTTTTTATTTTTTTTTTTCCCCCCTTCCACAAACAACCCGGAAACCAGAAATAAGGTATGGGGACCATTACCCAGGTTAGGTGCAGACCTTGGGAGACCAGCTTAGGTGCAGGCATTTGGAGAGTGTCCAGCGACAGAAACGGTGAACACAACCAACGGGCTTAGCTCAGTTGTTTCACCCCTAAACTGTTGAAATTCAGACCCGAGCTCGAATCCACTGATGGAACCAGATCAACAAAACTCCCAACTGCTGAATTACCTGGGGCCGGCCAGTGTCACGATGATATATCTCGAGGCTCGTTCGTAATCAGGCACTGTTGGAGAAAGAAGGAAGAATATTGTTGCTGACGTGTCGTACATATCAAGGTGTTGCGGTTGAACGTGAACGACTGCCCGACAAGTGATGTAATGAAACTCCAACGGAACAGTCTGTCACAGTCTGTCGTTGGTAGTCCTCTACTTCTCTACCAACGGTTCGCCGAGCAGTTCTCTATGACGATGACATACATCGGCACAAAGATATCAGAGAGTAAAAGGGGAAAAAACAAAAGGAAACAAGAACGATATCAATTCAGTTTTTGTCTTCTTACTTACAACTCCCCCTGTTCAGACCGCTTGACCCACTTGCACACAGGCAAAAGGCAAAGAGGCAAAGAAAGAGGAAGGGAACAGCCAAATACAACAAAACAGGGGGAAACAAACATAACAGATCGTAGATGACAAGTCCCACATGCAAGCACCGATGACATATATATACATATATGGGTATCCCAATGAAGTACACACTTGAAAAATTGTACAGCATGTTACGTACGAGTGTATGCATGTTATGGTTTACGCACGTGCTCATGCATTACGCACGTGTGCATGCATGTTATGTCTTACGCACGTGTGCATGCATGTTATTATGTCTTAATGCACGTGTGTAT